CTGCAAAATTTTAAACAATTTTTTGCTTTTAAATAGGTTTCTTCATCTCAGCTTGAATGAAAATTTATTGTTATTGAACTTCCTTTCACATTTCTTTCATTTGGTTCCCTGTATTTGGGAATTTTAGGTTTTAAAAGTGTAGAGTAACTTGCACACTGGATTTCTGCATATTTAATTTACAGCAACCTCCAGGCGCTTTGTTTATTTAGTTTATTCGCTTCATTCAAATATTTTTTTGGAGTCTTATTCAGCTACTACAGAACCGCTGAGAAAAGAACTAAATGGCCACTGATTTAACATGGTTGAAATACGACTGATCTCAAAATAATTCGCTTGTTTTTGTCGTCTTTTTGATTTACGACTTTCATCTTTCTTTTGCAGCGCCGTAATATTTTCGTTGCGCAGCAAAGAAATTACCTGATTTCTTGTTTTCAGATTGATTTTTACATGAGTTCTTCGCTTTCATTTTTCGTTGTTTTCTCAAATATTAGCCATTATAGTACAAGAAATTCAATTCTGTTTTATTTGGTTTCGTTTTTGTCCTCCAAAGTCAATAATTAACTCATTTTTGCAAAGTCAATTTTCTCAGCTTCTGTGGGACATTTTGTCGTGCAGTAAAGAAATAATATAATTTCTTGTTTTCTCATCAGTTTTACACATTAGGTTGAGTTCTTTTTGCTAATATTTTTTAATATTTTGACCCTTCATTTATTCAACTTTAAATAAACGATGTCTTGAAACCTGATCTTGTGTCTGTGGTTACTGCACATATGGTTTATTTTTGTGCTTTCGCTCACTCAGAAATATTCCAAAAAACACCAGGGAATTAGGGGTGGGTCACGGGCAATTTCATTCAGGCGTCAATGGGTTAAACCAAGGCTGCAAGTCTCTGTCAATGTATTAGCTGGAGTATGGCTGACATCCTGCTCGTATCCACCTCTGCCATTGTGTGTAAGTGCTTGTGAGCAATACCACAGCCATGATAACCATGAGAAAATCTATTCCTGGGTTTCCTTTTCTTTCCTATATGAGCATGGGGCACTGCTTGGCGACCGTTTGGGCCGCCAGAGCTCCGCTATCACACATAATCCTATATCTTACCTGAATTTTCAACAAATCAATTGGAGTAGAAACAACTTCAAAATACTCAGGACTGTTTCTGAAAATACAGTAGAAGACCCTGTTTAGAATATTTACCAATGCCTATGGGCTTAACATCAAGGGTGTTTCACTGCCATACTACTGCATGTCATCTTACCTAAAGTCCTCTGAGTGGTAGCAGCCCAAATGACATGCCAAAATCAAATCAAAGTAGTAAATATGATTGACTTTTTTTCTATTTTTTTTTTCTACTTTTACAGCAAATTGACATGCAATCATTCACTACAGTCTTTCTAAGTTTTAACCTGGCAGTCATGGCAAACTTGTGTTTGTTCTTTGCAATCAGGAATTCCAAGATTTCAAATAAACTTTGTATGGCAAAAATTACTTCTTAATACATGATTTTGCATTAATCAAAAATAATCACATGGCTAGTGATGTTTATGTTCAATCAAAAAATATTCTGAATTTCCAAATAACTGTTTCTCTGGTCAGCAAAATGCATTTCCTGAATTTGCCTGCCCTTAGACCCCCTAGAGCCTTGCACATCTAGCTGCACCTGTGTCCTGCCTGGAGACCAAATGAAATATTAGGTGGGTTCTAAGTGGATAAAACCACCAATCCAGTCTGAAATCTTATTTAAAGCACTGATAACATAAATTTACCCTAACAGCACCAGTGGATAAGCCACACCTTTTTACTCATCACAAAATTTTCCTAAAAAATTGGGGATGCAGCCTATCTGTGAGAACATTTGGACAACATTACATACATTTGCATAAGTTAACACTATTCATCAAAAATTTTATAAGTTTGTATATCACTAGTTAACTTTCACTTGATGCTACTACTAATGAACACAGTATTCATTTCTGCAAATGCTGGGCAAAGAGCAATTTGGCGCTCAGGTTACCAAGGACATGTCCTGAACCTGCCTGAAAGTTACAAGTTGGTAAGTCTTTTCTTACATTTGAAAACTTTCAGGCCAAATTTGTAGCATTCTTTGTATTTTCTGGTACAGCATCCTATATTCTCATGATTTCTAATTCAGAATTACATGCAAAATGCTATTTTAAGCATGCAAATATTTTGTTTTTGTTTGATCAGACATTTTTCACTTGGTAGGGTGTGAATAATGCTCATTAGTGAGAGACAGCAAACCAATCAGATTGCTTCAAACACCAAGATCAATGAGTGTGTATATATAATTAATAATATCCATAACAGAGGACAATCTGAACAAACCTTCTCTTTGGTGCTCGAATGTAAGATTCACAGAGAATTCTCCCACTGTCATCCCGATAGTTCCTGATAATTTCATACAGTTCTGCACAAGTATCAGCCTACAAACAAACAAAATAGTTAACATTAAAAGTATTAATACATCACCACCATGTAACATTAAGTGTGTCTAAGACAATGCAAGACGCTTAAACTTAACCCACAAAAGCATAGCAAGAGAGACTGTTTTAAACAGTTTTAAACACTTTTTTTTTCAAACATATTTTAGCAATCTTTACACCAAATTTTGTGGCAATCTGTTAAATTTGCACACACTATTAATTCATTTAAAGAGGAAACACTCAAGTAAAAACAAATTCCCTTTCTTGCTTCTGAAAGTTTATGAACATTTTACACCTTTGCTGTGTAACCATAGATACCACATTTGGCTTTGTTAGGTAAAATGCTTAAGGTAGTAAAGTGAGCCCAGTAGGTATTACAAAGCCAACAGTAAAACAAATAATTAACAACTTCCTCACAAAGTGGAGGATTAGTGCCTGAGATTGGACCCTGAAGACTCTACTATTGGTCGCCAGTTTCTAGATGAAGACCCAGTCCTCTCGTGGTTGGCAAATCCTGGCAACCCAGCCATGAACGCCCATGAAAACATGTGTGAAATTATGCGCAGTAGTGATGCGCAATGCAATACTAGGGAATGACCTTAAATTCTAAGAGAACAATCTAATCTTTTGGCAGGTAATTAAATTTATTGCACTGCACAGCAATATGGTATAGCCACCCAAGAATAAATAAACATACCTTTTATTCAATCAGTTTCTGCTATGTTTTCTTGTCACAAAAAGGAATAAAGTACTAAAGGTATTTCTCACTGATTCATAAACTCACTCAGAAAGATATGAGATATGATAGAAAACTTTGCCAACTCAAAAACTTGAATGCTACTGAAAAGAAACTTCACAAATTACATTAAAATTTGGTCTGGAAGTAACCTCTTTAGGTTACCAGTAGTATATGTGAAGGTGAATTAATCAACATGACACGAGCGTGGGACAAAGAAAAATTCTGAGTCCCCGACAGGAATCGAACCCATGACCTCCCGAACACCGG